GTGCTGGTTAGCATCACCAGCAGCCCCCCTGCCCTGGGCAGGAGAGAGGCTGCAAGTGTGCTGCAGCCACAAGGGTTTGCAGGGACATCTATCCTACCTGCAAGTCCCTGACAGGCCCTGGCTGTCAACCCTCTCCTGCCAAGCTGCTATCCCTGGTAAGAGCTGCATTACTGATTAACAGCCCCTTGCCTGCCTCCCCCCCTGTCCCACCCACACCTTTGCCTGTAGCCACCTCCTTAGACCCTCCCTTGTGCGAAGTCCAGGGCCAGGCAGGAGAGGACAGAGTGGGAGCTCACCTCAGGGCTCACCTGCAGGCAGCTTCTCTGCACCCCACATCCCTGGGTACTGCAGAGGTCTCCCTGGGCTGAGCTACAGAACATGAGTCACCCAGTGTGCAGGCAGGAGCACCTCTCTCCATCCAGGGCAGCAGTGAGGGCAGAGGTGGGTTCTAGCCACTGTACTAATCTCAGACCATAAAATTACTGCAGCACAACCCCAAAAGAGCCTCAAAGCCCTGAGCATGGTCCAAGTAGCAGCATCAGCTTGGCTGAACCCACTACCTTAGGTTTATTGCCCCTATTCCCCTCCCTGCTGTTTCCCTAGAGGAGTGGATGTTGCCATCATCAAGCAAAGGGGTCTTAAGGGATTTTGACCAGCCCCTTCCCATCCCAGGCACTGTGAGAAGCCCTGGAGGGATTCATCCCCTGCCCATCCCTTCCCTCTACACACCCACCACTCTGCAGAGTCCAGCTGGGTGGCTCCAGGCTACCCCAAGGTGTGCTGAGGGGTCCCGAACGGGCACCACTGCACCCTGCCCAAGCCTCTCCCAGTGCTGAAGCCAGGGTGCTCGATGCTGTTTCAGGGTTCCCAGTCAGCACTGCCAGCTCAGCCCCACCTGCTGGGGATCCCTGGGCTTGTCCCAGCCCAGGAGCAGCCTGAGGCAGGGGTTTTCTTTGATTGCCAGCACAAGAGCAGGGTGCAGGGAAGATGCCAAGCAGCAGACTCAAGCACACTCACTTGCTGGCTGTCTGCAATCTCCCATCTCCTCCACGAGCTGCAGTGCACTGGGAGGGCCTGGACAGGCATCATCCATCCTTCCCTGTCACTGCCCATCCTTTTCTGCCAAGCACCATCCCACTGCATTCCATGCTTGTAACCTCTCTGCAGTCACACCAACACCTCTTCCTTGGGGAACACCCGAGTTGAGACCTTAGACACCCCTCTCCTTCTGGTGAGCTGCAGCAAAGACACTGAGCGGGCTCAAAAGGTACAGGCAGACAGGGCAGCTGGGCATGCTGCCTTCGGATTCAACCGAGTCTCGGGCCAAGGGCTCCAGCCCCTGTTCCCGGACCACGGCAGCGAGAGGCGGTGGAGGATCTTGCACTGCCCCTCCGTGGCCATCACGGGAGGTGCAAGTGTCCCCAAAGCGTCTGAGAGCCTCGGGGTATCAAGTCCTTCAGCCCGCAGTCCTCAGGGAGGTGTTGCCCCCGTGCCAGGCCACTGGGGGCTGCCACACTCACAGTCACATGCTCGGTAACAACAGTCCTGCCGCACTCTCCCAAATACCCCTGTGCCCAGTCCTGACCTGTGCTGCATCCCTTGAGGCCAGACCACAGCACAGAGTCCACAGGGTCCTGAGGGGGCACAGCCCGAGCCCATGCCTGGGAACGGCCCACACAAAGGAGGAGACAAGGCAGTGCTGCTGTTTGGGCATCCGCATTTATTATATGTCTGAGGCACGCCCAGGGCTGCCACTCACCCGGGCCCCTCCCATCAAAGACCAATGACCTGTCCTCTCCTTAAATATTGGCTATAAAACAAATTTCTTTTTTTCTTTTTTCTTTTTCTTAAAAACCCCATATCTCTCTCCATACTTTTTTGTCTTTTGTATTTGAGTATAAAAGTGGGGGCGGGTGCTCCGCCTCGCCTGCCGCTACCTCCGCAGGCTGCGCTGTGCCTGCCGCAGCAGCGTGTCGAAGTCCAGGGAGTCAAACTTGCTCTTGACGGGAGCTGGGTCGAAATCCTCCCGATTTGAGTCTGGAAGAGATGGAACGAGGCTGCCTTGAGCCATGGGGACACTGGCAGAGTTCTTGCCAGCCCCACAGCAAACTTCATCTTGCTTCATGTGCCAGCCTCTAGACCCAGTTGGGTCAGCCTCCATCACAGTGCTGG